GGTTCTTGAACGTAACCCGTTCCGGAAGTCCGTTCGACTTCCGAAAAGTTCGAAAACCAAGGCATGGCTTCCGATTGGCGCAGACACCCCGGAAACAATAGCCGACAGCTGCATCAGACATTCAGCTTCTGAAAAAAAGTTTGCAAACCAAAGCATTTACTTCCGGGTTTGTGGCGCTCAGATTCCCAGGATTCTGTTTTGGGGTGGGGAGGGGAGATGTGCTTTAAATATATGGTGTGTACATAGCCTTTGTCTCCCTGAGTAAGACATCCTTTTCCTATTCTACCATGCTGCCTCATAAAAATAGCTTTTGTTTCTGCTACTGGGATGAGAGATGTGCCGGAGTGAAAGAGCCACCTGCAAAATTCCAAGAAGTATTTGAAAATCTGGCTGCAACACTTGTCAGCGCTACTCCATTGTTCTTTTTTCGCAGCAGCCTAGATTTAAATTAGCCTAGTTCCTTAAATAGGGAAGGAAAAACGATCTACTGAAAACACAGCTGAGGATAGTGGAACATGCTGTCTTGGGAATTTGTAGAATTTTCATTACTGTAAACATCTATCAAGGCTATTAAGAGAGCCATTGGATCACAAAGAATAATGCCAACATACCTCAACCAATCACCAGTCTCTTGACAGGACTGACAGTTGCGAGGGCAAAGGGAGTCAAAGGCTGGAGGAAGAACGAACGATTTACCATTCTAATACTACTGAGTGCTAAAGACCTGGGATGATGTATGCAATACGGTGCTCTCCAGAGTACAATAGGGTAAGTCTCTGCCCCAAGACAAGTGGAGAAGGAGGAAGAGGAGTCCTGTTTCAAGTACTGAATCCCCCCTCCACCTTCCAGTTGTCTGTTCTTATTGAAACAATCCGTCCAGAAATGAGTGCTGTCTTCAAGGAAGCCCTAGCCAGAGCCAACTAGAGCAGAAAAGTACTACACACTCTGCTCCTGTTAGTGAATCTTAATACAATAATGTATTTTTGGTCACAATGCTTACATGGCCCACATGCGGCAGCCTCAAAATCCCGCTGGCTGGTGCTCTTGGCTGGCCATACACGTTAATTTTTAAGTACTCGCTTATGATGCTGTCACTTCCTATTTCAACAGACTTATTTTTGTTTGACTGCCTTTTAAGAACACAGTAATTTTTAACCCCAAAGCGCCTTTAATCTGCAAGTATGAGGCGCAGTGTCTCCGCCGAATCCTAAACTGTTACGAAAAGGTTAACTCTAAATGTTAGTGCAATCTAGATTTTTTGGGGTCAATGCAAACATGCACCATCTATTGGTGTTAAAAGAGTGAGCTAAAGCCCTCAAACAGCAGGTGAATGCTGCTATTCTAAATTATCTGAGAATACCTATATGAATAAATTGTTGCTGGGGAAAAAATGCCATATTACCTCTCTCTGCATACCTCTTATTCTGGTGTGCAGAAAATGGACAGAGAAAGTTTTTCCTCTCTTTTTCAGAGCACTAGAAATATAAAAGATGCCAAGAGAATGAAATGCAGAACAGTGCCTCTAATACCCATTTCAAGAGGATACCATGGTACCAAAAGCCAATGAGAGCTCTAGTAAGGGCAACAGGGTCCCTCTCCCAATAGAGGGCACCAGGGTGACCAAGGCAGATTCAGTTCCAAACCAGGGTCTGAATCCAGATTGAAATGGGTCAAGATAATCCGTTTCTTCCAGGAATGTCTACAGCATCACCCTCTTGAGTTCCTTGTGTCCCCCCCCAAGGGGATATGTGTATTAGCAGCTTTGGGGGGCTTCAGCAGGCCAATACTCCCTTTCCCCCCACACTCCAAACTGACATCTCAACATTTTGTACATATCGGAAGCTCACAGGTCCTTAACAGGCTGTTGTTAGATTTTCATTAATTTACAAACTTATACTCTTCTGCATATGCAGATGGTTCCCCAACTATGTAGAAATCATTTGTCTTATTTTTGTGTGACCCAATTTCACTACCAAACTGATAGCCACTTGACCTCAAGTGCCATCAACCTACCAAGTGCGCACGGTTGGTGGAGGTGATGATTGCAAGGACTACAGGATTGCTGTGATATTTAAGATACTATAGATTTGTAGAGTTGGAAGGGATGCCAAGGGTCATTTAGTCCAACCCCCTGCAATGCAGGAATCCTGCCCACAGCCAGACACCCAGGGGGCTTCTGTGTATATACTGCCACATGTTAGATGATAGCGGACATGAACCATTATCATGTTTATGTGTCTGACTACTCAGTGGGATTTGCTATTCATGCTCTGTGCAGTTAGACCGAGTGACAATTAGGAGCCCATATTTCAAACAGTATTTTATATGTTTAGAGTATTTGATACGATACAGAGTCCACTCTACCAGCCAGCTTGTGCACATTGACACTAGAATTAAACTCAGATTTTAACCATTGTTTCTGGGTGATACAAGCAGAATATGCATTGAAGAAGGAAGCAATTCAGCTCACAGCAGGGCCCTCGGGCAGATTTCCATGCAAAGAAGGAAAGTGTTTGCCACTGAAGGTACAGCAGAACAGCCTGCACCACTTAAGATTAGTGGAGCTTGAGGTCCTATATCCCAGGATTTCCCATTTGCCAACGTTTTGTTGCACTGCTCAGATCAGCAGATACTTTTGATTAAATCAACACATCATTGCCTCTGAACAGGGGGAGTTTTAATAAGCTCTAAATAACTGCAGAGACAGAGTTGAAGACTTTGCAACATGGGGAAACAACAGCAGTGAACAACTCTGGAGAGAGTATGCAAAAGGGAGGAAGGGATGGGATGGAAACACTGAAAGGGCAGAACCAACAAATTCTAAAAGTCATTTCTCATCCTGGCTTCTTAAGCTGGAGTTGGAGGGGGTGGGCAGGGAGGAAAGAGAGGGAATGGTGACTGAGCCAAGCAACATGGCGGCAGCGGGGGGGAAACAGTGATGCCTAGTAACACTGGGGAAAAGTCCAAGGTGCCTTGTCACCCAAGCATTCAGATATTGACCCTGGCTCTTCACAACAAATGTTAGGAAATTTCAATATTTCTCCTCCACCCTTGGCTCAGTCATATGCAGTACTTTCCGCATTATTCTCTCAAAATTATTTCACTACACAGAAAGCACATTGAACTGAAAGCCAAGGGACTAAACAGCAGAATAGGAAGGATGTGTAAGAAGTGAAGACATAACACCTCCAAGGCCAACTGCAAAGGCGGAGCAGATATGAACGGCAGCTAGCATGGCAAGCACCCTCAGAGATGGTACCAATCCAGCTAGAAAAAGCTAGGGATCTGTGTTCCAGTTGCACCTTCCAACTAATACCACCACCTTTCCCAAAGAAGGTGAATTTTATACAAGGACACTGATAGCGAGCTAGGATAGGTTTCTCCTTCACTCTTCTCCCACTAACAGGTGAGGGAGGGAGGGAAAGAGTTTATCAAATAAATTATTCTCCCCTTTTGCCAGTAATTCAGAATTAAAGTTCCAGCATGTCGGAACTAAGGTTCCAAAACCAGAAAGCAGAAATCAAATTATTTGCAGCAAAAACAGCAAAGGCTAAGATTTTATGTGGACTGCATCAGGTGCATGAAGTGCTATGGAATAAATAAGGTGCAGAAGTGTTAAAGATCCTGCATTTGAGACACCGGTACAGTGATTAGACTGTCAGCCTAGGACTGGGAAGACCTGGTTTCAAATCCTCACTTAAACAGGAAGCTCATTGTGTGATCTTGGCTGAGCCTACTTCACAGAGTTCTTATGTGGATAAAATGGGCGAGGGTGTGAGAAAACCATGCACATCACCCTGGGCTTCTACAGAAGGGCAACATAAAAGTGTAACAAGTAACCAATTTAGGATGCTAATTAGTATAATAGGCTGTAAAGGCTGTACCAATTAACTTTCTGCCTGCCACATTCTCACTACACCTTTTCAAGCTCTAGCCATACCAACCAGTGTTAGAATTAGCCAGGCGCCAGGTGCGTTTTGCAACTGGCATGTGTCCAATTGGGACTATGTGGAGATCTCTGGATGCCAGGGTGGCGACTGGGGAAAGCAAAATGTCACCTACAGAAGGATCTGAAATATTTTCCTTGAAGCTTGAATTCGTTTTATTCTGGATTGTTTTATTTGATGTTTTGATGTGTTGTAAACCACCTTGAGATTTGTTCTTAAAGAAAATAAATAAATAAATAAATTCAACTGCAGGTAAAAATGGTGCCTGGACATTCCATTGTGGCATTTGATCATCACAATAACCTTGGAAGGCAAGCTAAGGCTAAGACATGACATGACAAGCTTACAGCAATTCCTTTCTCCCCTTTTACACAACTATTCAAAGATGCAAGAGCTCTGCCCTTTCTTGCAGCTGGTCACCCTACCTGATATGTATCAGGTCCTAAGAATAAGAAATACAACACCTAATGTACAACAGCATAGTTCAAAGAGGCGTTTGCCACAGACATCCATCTATGTCCGTTGCTTATTTGCTTACTTATTACATTTCGATGTTGTCTCTTCAGCTTTAAGTCGTAACATAGAGCTTGACCACTGAGCTAGGCATGCTCACAGGCGCTTACAACAGTGTGGTTGGTTGAAGAGGCATCCTTTGGTCAACTATTCAGAGCAATCTAATATATCCACAATTATTTCCTGCAGACATCCCTCTCCACTCCTTACTTAGGGACCACACATCCAAGGACCTTAAGGCAGTGTGCGTGCTCCTCTTCCATTTTATCCTCACAACAACCCCACGGGGTAGGTTAGTGCAACACGCTTAGCCACTACCGCCCCCCATTCTAGAACCAATTTCTCTTCCCATTCTATATGCATCTCCCCCCTCCCAAGGCTGACCCATTTGTAAAACCCGCTCCCGCTGCCCCGCCCCATTCACGTCCATCCCCTCTGCCATCCTTCACGGATTCTTGCCACGCCCCAGTAAGGTGCTCCCCCCCCAAAAAAAGCCCCCTTCTCCTCCTGGTTGCCCGGGCAACGTGCCGCTCTCCTCACCTCCTGAGCTACGCCCACGCGCTCTCCCTGCTTCTTAGGCATTTTTACCCTCCACGTTGCACAGGTAGGCTGCACATGCGCACAGCTTTCCTCCTCCTCCGCCTCCCTCCTGAGTCAGGCGCGGGATGGCCACATAGGCCCTCAGTCAAGCAAGGGGGCGGGGATTCGAGTAGCCTCCTCAGCCATCTTTGCCTCGGGTATTCCGGTCCTTTCTCCCCACTTTCCATCGCGCACGTGCACGCCGCCATGTTTGAGAAGGGCAAAGCAATTCTGGTTTAGTGGGAGACGTGGCTCAAGGAGAGGCTTTCTGTGTCCAAGGTTTCTGGCTGGCACGAGAGCCGCCGAGTAAAAAGTTAGGGGTAGGGCTTGGAGATGTTACGCAGCGTTGCGTTTCGACGACTGATAGATGCTGCCGCAGTTAAATACCTCGAATAAGACGAATTCACTACTTGGGGGGGAGGGTATGGCATGGATGCCTTTTTATCACCATTTCCTACGCCCCCCGGCATTCCTTTTATCTCATGAAACGAGAAAGATTTTAATCTTTTAACAGGCTCACTCCTTCACACAAAAAATAGCATCTATAATGTGTTACTAAATGTGGTGTTGGGCTCATCTTTAACTCGGTAGCACAATTTATGTCCTATATGATCAATAAAGGGACTTTGCAGAAGTGGAATGTGATTGGAAGGATCTGCATACTAAAACTACCACAATCTGCTTCCCAGGTATGATACACGTTATGAGGGTTTGTGTCTCGAATAAAAAGTTTTGCACCACAACTTGATTTTTTTTTTGGGGGGGGGGTTGGTCACATTGGGAAGGGTGACTGAGATTTGGAAGGTGCATTTCTAAGGGATAAGGTTTGTATTTTAACAAGTATTAATTTTTGCACCATAAGGTGCTGAATCTAGGTTTTTTAAAAATGCTGTCAGAATGGAAAAATGCAAAATATTTTGAGGATGTGGTTGTGTCATATCCATTTAAAAACATGCACACCCTTGTGCACAAGGTTTTTTATGAGGTGTTGAGGGATGCTTTTATGGTCCCTAGTGGGGCAGATCCACACCATATATTTAAAATGCAATCAAGACACGTTTAAAGCACATGACTTCTCCCCAAAAAATATGGGAAGTGTAGTTTTCTCACATATTTACCATTCCCAGTACCCTAAACATACTACAGTTCCCAGGATTCTTTGGGGGAAATCATAGTGTTAGGAGTTTGTGGGTGCCAGATCTCTTTAATCCCTGGTTCCAGCAAATTTAGAAGCCAATTAAGACAGCTAACTTCATCAATCCATTATTTTTAATCATGTAGCTGGAGAATAGCAGCATAGATATGGAGAGAGATGGTTGACATCATGTAGTGTTCAATTATTAATCATCAAGATGGATACCACTTTTACCAAGACCCATAACTGAAGTGGTTGCTGAACTACCAATAATATTAGGTTCTTAACAATAATTGCGGCAAGGTGAATGGAGCAAATAATAAAAATTGCTAATGACTAAAACTCCAGATGTTCTAAAAGCACAAGCTCACAAGACTGCATTAAAACTCTGATTTTAGCAGCTTCTTCATCTTTTTTTGCTTCTGAGCCTTTAGTATGCACAGCATGCATCTTTCCCACCCCAAGTACAAGGAAAGCAGAGTTCTAAATAGATGTTTTTTTTACAAGAAAACCAAACTCCCCACCAGCTTATAGCATATTTCTTATAATTTCAGGCAGCTAGAAAACACCCAAAATTATGAGTCTTATAATTAAACTAGACAAGGAGGCACCTTTGGGTAAGGCTGTGAAATCTATCCAAAACAACACAAGCTGCTACTGAAATACAACCATTTTGTGTTCTTGGGCGGAACATAGTCATCTGCGTTATAGCGGAGGGTGGCAAAGCAACCTGAAAGGAAGATGAAGGCAACAATACTGCTTAGGGTACAGAAAATGAAGAGGTGTTTAGGCAAAGTGAATTGATAAGTGGCTTCAAATTTAACAAGGAGGGATGATACTGAAATGTAGCTCTTATTAACAACACTTAAAAGAAGGATGCACAAATCACTTTGAGGGCCACTTTTACCTGTTTATTAATTCAAAAGGGCCACAGTGCTATATCACTACTGGGACAGTGTCACATTTTCAACCAAGTGCTTAGGGTTTTTTTTAGTCCATTTTCTGTTAACTGTATTTTTCTCTGCGCCAACATTTCTGTCAGCCTCCTTCATTCCTTTATTTTCTCCCTCTCTGTAGCCACAGTTCTGTGTGCTCTTCATCTGTTACTCCCTTTTACTCTTTCCCCAGTTCATAGGTCTCTCTACACCTCCTTTTAAAAATTTCCCTTTTTCCTTTCTCTGTATTTCTGACTCCATTTCTCTGTTCATCCATAGTACTCTTTTCTCATCTCTACAGCATCACAGATCTCTCTACCTCGTATGGTACCCCACCTGCCTCTTCTCTGTTTCTCCACCTTACAGGGTCTCTTTGCCTCCCCTTTACTCTCCTTTTCTTCCCCCTAAGAGGCAGGACTCAGGAGTTCACTTCAAAAATGCAAAACCATATCAGAGGAAACTGAAGTTGTTTAGCATTGCAGCAGTCAAGAAGTAGGAAGTTAACATCTTTCTCCTCTGCTGTGGTCCTGAGGAAAAGCCCTTTTCTAAAGGTGTGGCATTTGCAACAAGAGGGAATTCCCTATTGATGGGGGGGGTGTTACTCCCTAAAGCCAACACTGCCTTCAGAAGAGGAATTTTCCTCAAAGGCTAGCAGGAAAACCCTATGCCTGCCACAGTCCCAATCATTATAATTCCTACCACTGCTACTGCAGCTTTTTGCATTTTTAAAAACCTGCATGTGAAATGGAACAATGCATTTAATGTCACATCTTATTTGAACCTTAGTCTCTCTTTTTGTTCTGTTTCTGTTCCCCTCTATAGATCTCTGCACTGAACAAGCAACAGCGAGCCACAGCACCAAATGTATTCTCTCCTACCAAAGCAGGACATTTTTTTAAACATATAAAATATGGGAAAATTTTCCCCAGCCCTCACAAATTCCACCCCACCCATAAACGTAATATCAACCCACCCTTTTAATTCTGTTTGGATTTGGGGGGAAACAAATGCAGGTTTAAATGCAGCTCGCTTTCTCTTCTAGGCTTGTCATTTAGGGCTTGCTGTTCTGCTTTAAGCAAAACCTGTACCTATGTAACCCCTATGGCTTAATTAGACCTGTTACTTTAAGGAGGTTCAATGTTTTCAAGCTCTTGTGTGCAGATGGGTGGGGAGGAACGGTGGCCTTTGGAAGCCATTTTGACTAAGAGCTGCAAGAAAGGGATTCAGGACAGGCCTGGCCTATCGAGTTATTTCAAGGGGTGAGTCCCCCTTACATTCTTGTTGTTATTATCTAGGGGGTCACTCAAATCCATAAGAAGAGAGGAGCATACTTAAAATAAATATGTGAGTGTTTTTAATTATTACAGTACTGTTGTTTCAAGAATATTCTAGAACTGAGAGCAAGGAGCTCCATTTCCCATCAGGCTGCACTGCCTGGGGCTCTTCCTTTTCCACAGAAATTCTGCTTTTTGGGAGACTTTCTTACAAGAAAGGAGTATTTTTATTTTTTCATTTTGCTCATTTGGACTCTCTAGTTAGAGCTTTATAAACCTGCATTGAATGATGTTTGAAACTTTGTTTCCACATAGACTTTTGTAAAGTCTAAGCCTAGGTGGCTGGAGGTGCAATCGTAGGGGATGGGGAGAAAAAAAATATTGGGCTGGTTCTGGCTATTGTATCATTGCCATCCTTATAACAACCCTGTTAGGTGGGTAACGCTATCTTCATATTGGGGGATGAGCCTGAGGAAGAGTGGCTTTCCTAAAGCCACCCAGTGAATTCATGGCAGAGGCCAGATTTAAGGGGTTGGACAAGGAGTGTTCGTATTGAATCCCACCAAATGTTCAGTGAATGCATGGGGGGGGGGCAGGATTTCCACCTTCTGTTCAACATTAGTGGGAAAGGAGCTCAAGTAAACATTGATTGTGAGAGAGTGCTCATGTGAACACCCTCCAATGTGTGGGGCTTTGAACCCATATGTATTTTCCCTTACCAACCTGCCCATTTATTAAGATTTGAGGAAGAAGCTCTCCTGGTTATTCCCATGTTAAATGTACTCACTAGAGGCTAGCCTTTTTTTGTGCTGGCTCCATGTCTGTGGAATGACCTCCCCACCAACTTTGCATTTTTTCAGACACCTGGTATAATAAACCCACCTTTTCCTGCTGGCTTCTGGTGGCAGATGGGTTACGGTAAGTTATTTGAACTGCTTTAAAATTATGCTATTTGTGTAATTTATGAGAATTGTTTTGTTTGGTAGGTATTGCGGTGTGTTTTATTATCTTTTTTTTTGTAAACCACCCCATTACCATTTTTTGTGAAGAACGGTATAGAAACCTCTAAATAAATGAATGACTAAGTCCAATTTTATTCAAGTCAGCAGCACCTGGAGGTCCTTGAACCAAAACCCCTGAATTTGGGTTGCCAGACAATAGTGGACTGTGGTGGTGGTGACAAGTGTAGTGTCTCGGTGTGAGCAGTGAACCAAGTAGTCTTTGCTTCAAAGCTCACTTTAACCTTGAATTTGCTAGGTAGGTCTAGATCTGCCAGCTGTTCTCTTGGCCTCATCTCCCTATAAGCAGCATGGAAACCATAATATTACCTTATACTATAAGACTTATAGGGTTGTTGTAAGGGCTGCTAGGATGATGCACTCTGTGTACTTGAAATATGCTTGCTACATGAATGCTAGGTGCCACAGTATTCTTCTTGCATTATGTGTGCCATTTCATGTTATTTTTGCTTCCATGAACCTTTGCAACCTTGCCTGGGATTAAGGTCTGTCTGAACCAAGTTCATGATTTGAAGTATGATGTTTCTACAGTCTGAAAGCAGCTGGAGGCTGTGGCCCTGTGCAAGCGTCCCTTGGAGTAAGTCCCATTAAATTCAGGAAGACTTCTGGCAACATGCATAAGATGGGGCTGAAAGATTGCTGAATAGTGGTAGAGAACTCACTACATGGAGCAGATCCAGGGTTTCCCATTTCTGATTTGTTTTTGGTTAATAAATAATGGGAAAATCTGTAGCATTTTCTCAATCTAGCAAAAGCTGGGCTAAAAGAAAATGCATTTTGGGGGAACGCAGCAGGCTCAAAGCTAAAACCCAGCTGAGGCTCCCAGTGGTGTTTTTGAAGCATAGTATGCAGAGAGGGGCATAAAAAGAAATACAGTTTTGCTTCAGACACTATTCTTGTTTGTTTAGCTGAGTGTAAATGCAATTTAAAAATGCATAGAGGTTTGAATGCAGCCCATCTGTCATGGCTTTCGATAGGACGAAATATCCATCAATCCTGCAGAACAAAATTTCTGCCTTAGAAAAGTACATATTGATTCAAGGGTGACGGAGAACTCCCTTACCATCCCTTGTAAAACACACACACACACACACACACACACACACACTCTCTCTCTCTCTCTCTCTCTCTCTCTCTCTTTACAGTGCAATCCTATACATGTATGTTCCAAAGTAAACCCCAAGTTCAGTGGGACTTACTCATGTGTGTATAGGATTGCAGCCATTGTGTCCTATCTTGGGATGGGGTGGGAATGAGAAGAGCAGGACTCTCTTGTACTTCTTCCTGTGTTGCAACAATTCTAAAAGGGACTGCTCCTACAGCTGTAGAAATGATTAATGGTCTAATTTGGTTGTTTCTGTCACTGCCTCTTTAGGAGTCAGCAAACACTATGTTCATCTAGCCCAATTCTTTCCAGGTCAGCCCCAAAGTGGAACCTTTGCCCTTTGCCTGGGGATAACATGGCTCCTGTTGTTGAAATGTGTTTTTCAAAGTTATTCAAGTTACTGTTCATTCCATGACATACTAGTAAATAAATAGGTGGTGGAGGTATAGAGGTGATTGTTGCTGTTTTGGTGCTGGGGAATACTTGCCTCTTTCTGTCTTGATTCTTGAATAATAGCTTGCAATTTTGTGGTGCACAAGGACTGCAAATCCTGTATTTAAAAATGTATATATATACGACATGAAAAATGACTAAATATCCTCTGTGCATTGGCAACAGCCTTCCAATGGCTGGTGGCTTAATACAGGTAGTGGAAGCTGTATAAATAAATCCGAGTGAGAAGAGGTGTGAGCAGAAGGATGTGTGATGGGATGGTTTTTATTGCCCTTTATATGTTTTTTTTACAAAGCCAAAATTCCGCCTGGTCTTTGCAGTGGTGTTGATAGAGTTGGAACTTTGGCTCAAAGCCCTGGGCCTTAGAGTCTGGAGGCCCTCCAAATGACTACCCAGAGAACAGTAGTTTATGAGGGCAGCAGCAAACAGGTCTGACACCAGCATTTGGGTCTGTCTGAGGCTTACTAGGACTGACACTGGTCACTGTAGAATCCTTTCTTCATTTCTATTCAGGGATCAGCTGGTCAGGCATGCACATTGTTACAGAAGTTTATTTTTTTACTTTAAATACATATTGCCTTTTACTAATATAAAATGGTGCTAATTCCTAAGAGTTGTACTCAAGTACTGTACACACCTGTCAAAATTAATGGTCCTAAGTTAGTCATGTCTTATCATTTTTAGTGGATCTACTATTAAAATTGGGCCCAACCCAAAGTGAATGTGTTTAACATCAGGCCAGCTGAAGCAAACTTTATTTTTGTTTATTTCTGGAGTCATGATGATGCTATGATTTAGGTGAGCTTAAAACGTGAAATTACACATGCTCAGAGTACCCCCCCTTTAAAAAAAGGGGGGGCTGAGAAACTATTTTGTGGTGGTGCTTTTTTTAAAAAAATTATATTATTATTATTAAAATTTGTATACAGTGGTACCTCAGGTTAAGTATTTAATTCGTTCCGGAGGTCTGTTCTTAACCTGAAACTGTTCTTAACCTGAAGCACCACTTTAGCTAATGGGGCCTCCTGCTGCTGCTGTGCCGCCAAAGCCCGATTTCTGTTCTTATCCTGAAGCAAAGTTCTTAACCTGAAGCACTATTTCTAAGTTAGCGGCGTCTGTAACCTGAAGCGTATGTAACCTGAAGCGTATGTAACCTGAAGCGTATGTAACCTGAAGTGTATGTAACCTGAGGTACCACAGTACTGCCCTATACCCGCAGGTCTCAGGACAGTTCACAGGATAAAATCACAATATAAAAACACAGAATACGTAATCAAAATACAGAATACGTAATCAAAATAAAAACAAGAACAATTATACCCACATGTAGTGTAACACCAAAATGGTCTGCACATTCAAATTCCCTTTGGATCTGGTAGAAATGCGCACAAAACTCCAAAATTGTGAAGTTTATTAAGAGTTAAACTGAAGAAGAAGAAGAAGAAGAGTTTGGATTTGATATCCCGCCTTTCACTCCCTTTAAGGAGTCTCAAAGCGGCTAACATTCTCCTTCCCTCCCCCCCCACAACAAACACTCTGTGAGGTGAGTGGGGCTGAGAGACTTCAAGGAAGTGTGACTGGCCCAAGGTCACCCAGCAGCTGCAAGTGGAGGAGCGGAGACGCGAACCCGGTTCCCCAGATTAGCAGACTACCGCTCTTAACCACTACACCACACTGGCTCTCTGAAATAACAGGACGAATGGAGGGGGCAGAAGGTTGTTTCAAAAAAATTAAAACAGTTTAGTCCGAGCCTATCTTTCCTCTTGCAGCTGCTTGCAATCAGCTTTGGGTCTCCTGAAGTGTAAAGTAGAAGCCTTGACAGTCCAGTGAGGTGGGGGACAAGGATGGTATGCCAACAGTTCCCTTTTAAGAATTTCTGACCCAGGTGGGTCTTGATAGACAGCTGGCGTTGTCCAGGTAATCGCAATGCAGCCAGGTAGCTGGGAGAATGCCCAGGGGTCAGAGGCTGAAACATTCAATGTGACAGAAGACTGGAGATGGGCCATCAAGGAAGAAATATGGCCATTCCTCAGCTCTTAGCTGTGACTCCTCCAGGAAGACCAAATGAAGAACAAAAGATACTGCCAATCTTCAAGTGACAGGGGACCAAAAATGAGACCTGCGCCACAGGCAGGAGTGTGTGTGTGTGAATCCGTGCCACCTAGCCAACAGGGTAGGTGGAGCATTTCAGTCAGTTCAGGGCAGATGCTGTAATTATCTTTCTGCACTACAATCCCCTGTTCTTATAACTGTTTTGTGTTTGTGTGCTCTTCCGCTTCTGCTTTCCTCCTGTAATCTCGCCTGCGGCCAGCTAGCCCTAGACATTTAGGTCCAGGAAAGAGTCTGATCACTGATTATTAAGTCTTGGGAGGCATTAACTCAAATACAGTTGCATTCCCAATATGGCTTGCCCAGGGCTATGCACATTCAGTGTGTCCAACGAGTATGGGAATGGCAGAAAACGCTATCAGAGTCCTGCAGGCTGGATGGCGCTGCTCTTGATGTCCTCTCCAAGTGACATAAATATACAGAAGCCCCATGAACTCAGTCCCTGGTTTGCCTCTGTGTCACCTTCCATGCTTCCACCTTGACAGCTATGCACAGATTTCCGAAACAGCTTGAGATTACAGAATTAATTAGAATTAAATTAATCAGTACACCCACCACAAGGCTGCCTGGTTCCACGAAATGAGCAATTCTCTTAAGACGTGTTTCCACAGCCAGGGCTGATGCTCATCACGCTTGTCAACACACACTTCTCATTTTGATGAGGTTTTGTCTCTTGCATGTTTGGAATGTGGTGAGCACTGAAAGCTTCTAAAAAAGATATATGGCAGGGATGGCCGTCCTTGTATTTCAGTGGGAGTGGAACACACATCATGTTAGGAGGGGGACAATTTAAGGAATCAGAAGTACGGGTGTATGATGAATATGCATCTGTTTTTGTCTGGGACTCATCTGTGGGCGCTGCATATTCACTACAGATGCGCCTTCTGGAGGGAAGCCTCTGGATCCTCCAGAACAGATGAGTAACAACTTCACAAATGCCAAGGTTGCAGGTTCAATCCCCGTAAGGGACAAGTGCAAATCCCTGCATTGCAGGGGTTGGACTAGATGATCATCAGGATCCCTTCCAACCCCACAATTCTATGATTCTGTGCCCAGGAAGAACCTTATGTCACCTCTGAACATTGTTCATGAGCCGCAGAGTACACACCATACACTGAAAGCACATGTTTTTCCCCAAAGAAATCTGGGAACTATAGTTCATGGAGGGTTCTGGAAATTGTAGTTCTGTGAGAGGTCAGCTACAGTTCCCAGAATTCTTTGGGGGATGTCAC